GACTCGATGCAGGTTACAGCACATGCGATGTTCCACTCCATTCCACTCCACTCCACTCTATCACCTGTGACTCAGAGCCACGCCCGCTCGAAGCAGCTCTCTGCGAGCCCTGACACCAACCTGGCTTGCTTCCACCGTCAACTCCTGCAGCTTTGGGAAGCTTCCCAGCAGCCCTCCGATGCCATCTGCAATCATTGCATCACACTCAAGCACGGTCAAATGCGTCAGCATCTCCAGTCTGCTCTTTGCAACCACCCGGTCTGAAAAGTCCTCGTTGTCGTCCACGATTAAAGCCACCAGCATGGGGCAAGCACGCAGCATCAGCACCATCTGCTCCTCCTTCAGCCCGAAGCACGACACCAGTGTGAGGCGTTTCAGCTGCCCGAAAGCAGCAGCGAGTGCAACAGATTGGAAGGACTGCGGCTGAGAGACTGCCCTTGAAACGGCAGCAGGAGCGAAGTGAGAAGGTGAGCGGGAAGTGGAAGAAGAAGAAGAAGAGGGAAGGGATGCAGGAGCGGAAGAGAGGCACATGAGAGGCGATTCAGAGGGAAGGGATGGAGGCAGCCACGTAGGCATGGGAGTGCAGGTGAAGTGAAAGTCCTTAAGGGTTAAGGAGTGTAAGGGAGGGCACAGCACCTCCACAAGAATCCCGGAGATGCCACATGATTGGCCTCCCATGTTCCGTGCTCTTCTGCTGCTGCCCACTGATTTTCGACTGCCCATAACGTTCCTTTTGCTACTGTTGTTTCTGCGGCCTGACTGTCCTCCCTCCCTTGAGACTTTATCCCCTTGCATCCCTCTTCCTTGTTGCAACGATATTCCTCCTCCCCTTTGCCCCGCTGTTGCGGCTGTATCACCAATTACTGCTGTTCCATCTGCTGGTGCTGCTTCTGTGGCTGCAGCACTCGCACCAGCAGCAGCACCAACATCCGCCGTACCAGCATCAGCATCAGCAGCATCAGCGGCAGCAGCATCAGCAGTTGCACGAGGCACGCGCATGGTCCTGAGGCTCTCAGTCGCCGCATTGCTCTGCTCGTAATACTGCTGCAGCAGAGATTCCATCACAGCCACTGCCTGCCCCTCCGGGTCAACCCCAGCAGCAAACTCTCCATCCTCCTCAGTCCCTTCAGCAGCATCAGCAGCTTCAGCAGCGTCAGCAGCATCAACAAGCAAGTCATCATCACCCGGTAGCATTCCGTCAAAGTCTTCCAGGCGCACCAACCCTCCTTCCCCCTCCTCGCATACCCTGCTCCGCGTGCCCACAAACACGCCCGCAGTCGTGGCAGCAGCAAACGCCTCACTCACCGCATCCTCCCACGCCGTCGCCGCGTCTTTCTGATTCACTGCCACTCGCAGCGCCCGCCACGTTGAGATGCCCGATCTGATTTTAGCGATGGCGAATTTGATCTCGGACAGGGCGTCTTGCGGCTGCGCCCGCGCCATGCGCGCCCAGTGAACAGCGGACGGCACGGCTGTGTGGCACTCCTTGGCCGATTCCATGAGAGTGATCATGTCTTTACTTGACTCTATGAGGTCGGCTCGGGCTGCTGCTGCCGCCGTTCTGATGTCTACGTACTCTCTTTCTTCTCCGTTTCTGAAGTTGCCTGCTCATGGTGCTATTGCTGCTGCTGCTGCTGCAAGCCCTGCTGCTCCTCCCACCCTTGCTAGTGCGGCACCAGCAGTAGTTGTAGCTTCATTCGCTCCCTCCACCCTGTCAACCTCTTCTGCTGCTTCACACTCCTCCCCTCTACCCCCCTCTCCAACCTCCCGTCCTTCCTCCCCTCCTGCCTCCCCTCCTACTTCCCCTTCCTCTCCTCCCCTCTGCACCACGCGCACCAGCATGCCAACGAGACTATCCAATGACACCCGTTGAAGCACCACGCTTCCCCCTCCCTCCCCCTCTCCATCCCCCCCTCCTCCTCCCCTTCCTTCTCCACTCCTAGTCCCAGCATCTCCCTCACTCGGCGCTGCAAGAGTCTCCGGCATTCCCTTCAGCACAAGGGACTGCAGGCCGCCGCAGTGCGCCAGCATGCCCGGGCGGAAGGACGGCAGCCCTGAGAGCTCAAGTGCGTGCAGACGGGGCGAGGAGAGGTGGAGGAGAGAGCGGAAGGGCGGGGCGCTAAACAGGCGGTAGGTGGTGCCGTGGAGGGCGAGGGAGGAGAGGGCAGGGTTGGCTTCAACCAGGGCTAAGAGGGCGTGGCTTGAGACCAAGGGGCAGTTGTGAATAGTGAGGTGGGTGAGTGTGTGGAGGGAGCGAGCGAGGGCGTGCAGGTCGAAGGGATCAATGGTGCAGGAGAGGAAGGCGAGAGAGGTGAGGCGAGGGAGGGATGCGAGAGGCGCGAGGCACGATTCGAGCTTGGCGGAGTGCAGGGTGAGGGACTTGAGGGAGGCGCGGACAGATGAGGAGGAGGAGGAGGCGAGGGAGGAGAGGGTGGAGGGAAGGGGGTTCCAGAGTGTGAGGGAGGTGAGGGAGGAGCAGCGGGTGAGGGGGGTTAGTTTCGAGGCAGGGATGAGGAGAGCGAGGGAGCGCAGAGCAGGGAAGGCGTGGATAGGAGGGAGGGGGGTGCCAGTGCAATTTCGGTGGATGATGGCGCGCCGGGCGAACGGAGAGTCAAGCTCCAGGGATGTCACGAGGCTGGAAGGTGGGAGGAGAGGGAATGGGAGGGAGGCCAGGGGAAGGAGGGAAGGGGAAAGATGGAAGGGAACGGAGGAAAGGGGAAGAGAAAATGGGACGGGGAAAGGGGGAGCGTGAAAGGCAGGAGTTAAGAGGAGAGGAACACGAGAAAACAAACTACGTGCTTCAAAAGGGTTGGCGGCATTGAGGCGTTGAGGAGAGGAAGGAGGGGAACGGAGAGGAGGAAAATTGAAAGGTCATTCCGTTGTGAGCTTGAATGGTCGATCGTGTGACTCGATATGCTGAGTCAAGTGTCATGTCAATAGCGAGGACGAGAGACGCAGCTCACGGGCATTGCTTGGCGAGCTTCGTCCACGCAGCAGCGCTCATGTAGAATTCCCCCCATTTCGCGACGAGCTTCAGCTTTTCCAGCTTCGGGCAGCTCGCACCGACGCTCGCCAGCAGCTCGTTTCCTCGGATCGAGCAAACCTCCACGGTAAGCGAGATGATGTGGGTAAATACCCTCGAAAAATCGTCGAAAGCTTTGAGAAAGCTGCGCACGTTGCGATACTGGAAAGGTGAGACGAAGAAGAGGTTGAGCGAGTGGGGCGTGCGGCGGGAGAGGCGGCGAAGGCGAGAGCAGGAGAGAGCGACGCTGCAGCGATCGCAGGGGTGGTTCAGTCGGGCGAGAAGCAGCAGAAGGAGGTCGTCCGGGAGCGATAGCAGGCGACTGTCCTTCGTTTCATCATCCAACGACGTTTTCCGGCACGTTCTTTTCATGGTCGCGAGCTAGTTTCGGCGAAGGGTAACGGTTAGGGTTACGCTGTGAACCGACTTCGGCTGTTGGAAGCTTCGTGATGATTACAAGAACCGAAGAAGAGGTGGCATTGATGGGACAAAGAACAGTTGAAACAAGTAAGCCACTAACGCGCGGAGCGCTTCTAAGAAATGTGGGGCTTCAAAACCTTTTGTAAAGCTACTTTCGAGTGACTTTCGAGTAACTGCTACTACTACTGTTGTAAGCTACTATGTGAAGGGAGGTAGGGCTGCGTTCAATGGCGCATAACCAGTGCGGCCCTTCGACACAAGCACTGCGTTCCTCGAAGGGGACAACCTCCCAGGGGCCTCGGCGAAGTTTGGTGTTGCTAGCATAGCAGGCTCTCTAAAGATTTTTTCAGCATTCAACATCGCGTACAGCAGCAGCAGCCGTTGTTCGCCCGTTACTGCTAACGGGGCTTCGCCAACTTCGCGCACTGTTTTACCAAACCCTGCTCTGCTGGCCTGGCCGAGTCGGCCTACGCTTTGGGACTAGCCCGAACCTCCATGCCAGCCTAGCACTAGCTAGTCACACGCACCGCGTAACCGTTGCATGTTTCGCACATACGTATTCTCTCATGCCTTCGCGCATACTTTGTACTCGTTTGACACCTAGTGCAATCCTCGCTATCTCGTTCCATTGCACCCGTAGCACTTCCAAACAGCCAAGTTTTTGTGGATTTTGTGTATATAAAGTTGTATGCGGTATAGAGGATGATACGACACGAAGCAAGGACTAGTGGATTCCTTACACTTGTTAACTGTATACACTACCGTATTGTTCCACTACAGATGCGAATCTGCTGTGCTCTCAACTTCTGTGATGTGCTTTCATGTTGATGGCTTCCATTCCAAAAGACTGACACTCAAACACGTAGTACCTTCCACATCCATTCGAGAAATCCAGGCTAGGAACGTGAAAAGGCTTCAAAAGTGGGGTCTTCACACTGAAAAAGAGCCATTGACAGACACACGAGACGTCAGGATGAGAAGTTAGCAAGAGCCAAGAGAGCAGGTTCAAGAGGGCCGGAGGGGGAGACTCCACCAGATCATTGTTGGTTGAAAGGAACAATGCAGAATTCAAGCAAATACATGCGGTATGTACTAACCTAGAGTAGACGAGCATAAGTAACGTGCACACTAACAGAAAGAAAAGAATGCAGAACACGACCGCCATTACACACCTCTTCGTTATGCCCTCACCCCGTTGAGCGTGAAGTTGCAGCGGACCTTCTGCCGCAACTGCCACACGGATCGCGGGTACAATGTGCTGTTGTGCCACCACCCCACGCTATCCCGCACGTGCACCGTCTCATTGCACACGTGCAGGTCGCTCACGAAGCCGAGCTCGCGGTAGTGCAGCAGCAGCAGGTCGTCCGTGCTGAGATTCAGGAGGGAGAGGGTGGGCGCGTCGTCACTGTGCGGCCCAAAAACCCCCATGCGCTCCACCTGCAGGGGCGAGGGGGAAGGTGAAGGCGGAGGGCAGGGAGTGCGGCACACAGTACAAGGAATGATGAGGTGTGGAGTTAGGAGTAAGAAACACTGAATTACAGTGAAATTTGCCTGTACTTCACTTTCGGAATTGGCAAGACAACAGGACGCACCTTCCGCGGGTCAGCAATGAACTTGCGGTGGCCCTGCTCGCCCAGGCACACCTTTGGACTCAGAAAGCAAGCAAGCAGCACGCTCCTGTTACAACAACAAGCCAGGCCTCACTCACTCACCTTTCGGGGATCCACAATGAACTTGCGGTGGCCCTGCTCGCCCAGGCACATCTTGGGGCTCACAAACCGCCCGCCCTCTCCATTACTATGACACGCGGGCTCCGGCCAGTGGAACACAAACCGCTCGATCAGAAACTCATCGTCCCTCTGCCCTCCCCACGCCTCGTCCGCAGAACCAGGAAGCAGAGCCCTCTTGGCCTCCTCGTAGTCTGTGTATTCGTGCGTGTATTGTGGGACTCCTAGGACCTCCTCCTCGTGTTCGATCCGCGGGCGGCAGTGACGCACGGAGAACCAGAGCGAGCCGAAGGTGATCACTGCTGGGGCGGGCTGTGCTGGTGCGTGTGACGGCGCGTGCGCTGCTGCTGCGTTGGTGGCGGCAGCTTCCGTGGCAGGAGTGGATGAGGAGGAGGAGGAGGAGGAGGAGGAGGAGGAGGAGGAGGAGGAGGAAAGGGAGGACGGGGAGGGGAAGCGTGAGAGGAAGGCTTGGATGGGAGGGATGGGGAGAGGAGTTGCGGAGGGAGGGAGGTAGAGAAAATCGTCCATGTCAAGATAGAGAACCCACTGGGAGGTGGTTCGCGAGCGATAGAGGCAGTCATGGAGGGCCAGGATCTGCCCGTGGTTCCACGGATTGAACGGCCGGATGCCGTCGAGCGAGACGATCTCGACACGGCCCCGCGCCATGTCAGCAGCCAGCGTGGCGCGGACTGCTGACGTGGCGCCGCCTGAGTCGTAGAGTGTGGAGTGGTCGACACCGAAGAGGAAGTGGTAGTGGAGAAACTCGAGGAGAGAGCGCGGGAGGACAGAGGGGCCGTAGAGAGGGGCGAGGCAGAGGTTGGTGTGGAAGGGGAGGGAGGGAGAGGAGGAGGGGTCGGTGATGGAGAAAGTGGGAGTGGAGTGCGGTTTGGCTTGGTGAGAGCTGCTGGGAGTGAGGAAGAGCAGGATGGGGGTGGGGGGAAGGAGTGAAGGAAGTGAGGAAGGGAAGTAACGGGGACCAAGGGACAGGAAGGAAATGAAAGAGTCGCATGGGAGAGACTGAAACGGTGAAGTCGGGGAGCAGGCGGGATTCAGAGAGAAGTTTGGTTTGATGTGATGTGAAAACAGCCAGCTCACCCCTTTGGGCACACAGGGGCGGATGGGATTGGGGAGACGATGGGGGAGAGGAGAGGGCAGAGGAGCAGAGGGCAGCAGGCATGCCAGAGGGAAAGCTACAGAGCAGAATGCACGTGTGTGTGTGTGTGTGTGTGTGTGTGTGTGTGTGTGTGTGTGTGTGTGTGTGTGTTTAATAGAGAGTGCTCGCACAACCACCTTAGGTCAGACCTCAGAGGAGAGTGGGTGGGTGGGAGGAGGGGAAGCAAGCAAAGCACCCACCTGAGCAGCAGTGGGATGAGCTCATCGTCCAAGACTGCAGCGACCACCCCGTCATTGACAGCAGGAATGGGCGAGGGGAAGGAGCAGAGCAGAATGAGGGTCTCATAGGTCGTCTCCCTGCTGTCTGCGGGGTAGATGATGCGCAGCGACCCCGTGACTTCTGTGTCTGCCAGTGATGCTGACGGGGCTGATGCTGCTGCTGACGTGGCGGATGAGTCTGATGTGGCGGATGACTCTGACGTGGCGGATGAGGCTGACATGGAAGAGGAGTGGTTGGATTGCTTCCATCTGGACGAAGGTGGTGGGAATGGGGTTGGGGGAAGGGAGCGGGAGGAAGGAAGGGGGTGGGCGGAAAGGGATGTGGGGAGGGAACAGAAAAAGTGAGTGTGTGGGTACAAGAAAAGAGGCATGAATGTTTTCAATGCAGAGGAACTAAGAAGAATCTTTAGAGCAACGGAACGTTTTATCTGAAGGCCTTTGGAGCACGAGGAGAGGAGAGGAATGAGGGAAGTAGTGAGGAGTGGGGGGAGATACACGCGCAGACAAGGCAAGGAGGAGCGCAGGGCGAGAGATTGGGTTTAGGGTAGGTGCAAGGTAGAGCCAGATCAGGACTGCCCACGGACAAGGATTTCGGGTTGTCCCAAGGAACGGGAAAGGGAGGAAAACAGGCAAGGGCGGGACACAGGCAAGGGCGGGACACAGGCAAGGGCGGGACACAGGCAAGAGTGGGAAAGAGGCAAGGGCGGAACGCACACACAGTGGTGGGCGCGGCGCAGGTCTCTCGCTGCTCGCAGCCCCACTCCCAGCGCTGCAAAGGACGCCTCACCCACCTGGTAAGAGCTGCAACGGGGATGGGCAGCAAGTGGGAGAGGGAGAGGGTACGGGTAGAGGGGGTGTGAGGTGGTGTGACAACGAAACATAAATGGCTGACTCAGAAAATCAGGGCCAAGTGAAGCCCACAAATATATTTTTAATCGACTAAAAATTCATCATAATGAGGCATCTTTTCAGTCGACTCAAAAAATGGTCTTGAGGTGGTGTGACAATGGATAACGGAGAAGCCTTTACCAAGACTGCCAGGTGATACGGCGCCCTGGAACCGAGAGAGTGATACCAGCACGACCAACTGCCCTGGGAGACCTGTATGCCTGATTCAGAGCTCTGGTTTCACCTCAAGTGCTGGTTTCACCTCAAGTGCTAGTTTCACCTCAAGTGCTGGTTTCACCTCAAGTGCTAGTTTCACCTCAAGTGCTGGTTTCACCTCAAGTGCTGGTTTCACCTCAAGTGCTAGTTTCACCTCAAGTGCTGGTTTCACCTCAAGTGCTGGTTTCACCTCAAGTGCTAGTTTCACCTCAAGTGCTAGTTTCACCTCAAGTGCTAGTTTCACCTCAAGTGCTGGTTTCACCTCAAGTGCTAGTTTCACCTCAAGTGCTGGTTTCACCTCAAGTGCTGGTTTCACCTCAAGTGCTGGTTTCACCTCAAGTGCTGGTTTCACCTCAAGTGCTAGTTTCACCTCAAGTGCTGGTTTCACCTCAAGTGCTAGTTTCACCTCAAGTGCTGGTTTCACCTCAAGTGCTAGTTTCACCTCAAGTGCTGGTTTTACCTCAAGTGCTGGTTTCACCTCAAGTGCTAGTTTCACCTCATGTGCTAGTTTCACCTCAAGTGCTAGTTTCACCTCAAGTGCTGGTTTCACCTCAAGTGCTAGTTTCACCTCAAGTGCTAGTTTCACCTCAAGTGCTGGTTTCACCTCAAGTGCTAGTTTCACCTCAAGTGCTAGTTTCACCTCAAGTGCTAGTTTCACCTCAAGTGCTGGTTTCACCTCAAGTGCTGGTTTCACCTCAAGTGCTGGAATCATGTTGGATTCACCTGAAGTGCCGGATTCACCTGAAGTGCCGGATTCACCTGAAGTGCCGGATTTACCTGAAGTGCCGGATTCACCTGAAGTGCCGGATTCACCTGAAGTGCCGAATTCACCTGAAGTGCCGGATTCACCCGAAGTGCCGGATTCACCCGAAGTGCCGGATTCACCCGAAGTGCCGGATTCACCTGAAGTGCCGGATTCACCTGAAGTGCCGGATTCACCTGAAGTGCCGGATTCACCTGAAGTGCCGGATTCACCTGAAGTGCCGGATTCACCTGAAGTGCACGAAGCTGTAGCCACCAAATCGGGGAAGCGTGCCCTGAGATGCCTGCGCATTCCCCCCCAGTGCCCCGTGACCCGCTGCTGCTGACAGTCGCGCCTGCAACTGGGATATCAATTCTTCCTGCGGCGAGAGGGAGAGCAGGAGAGGATGTGAGGTTGCGATGGAGAAGATTGGGGAATGAAAGGCACTTGACGTGCATAGGTGGGGCCGTGGAAGGCACCAGCAGTTTCCTCCTGTGCCCCGTGGCCAGCTGCTGCTGACCGTCGCGCCTGTAGCTGGGTGGGAGATGACCTCTTCCTTCGGACAGAGGAGAAGGAGGAGATTGATGGGTAAATTGAGGGAAGGGAAGGCACTGGGTGGGCGGTGTGGAAGTGGAGGGGGGAGGCAACAGCAGGCCCAAAAATGTGCCCCCCCCGTGACCACGATTCAAAAACCTCACCACCGTCATGCACCCCTCACCACTCCTCCATCACCTCACCTTCTTTTCCAGCTCCGCCTTGAGCCGCGTTGCCTCCTCCCCTCCTCCACCCGCCCCTCTTTCTCCCCTCTCCCCTCCTCTTTCCACCAGCTTCCGAGCAACCAGCTCCAACCGCTCCACAGCACTGTTCACCGCACTGTTCACTGTACTGTTTACTGCACTGTTTACTGCACTGTTCACGTTGCCAGGAGACGACACAGCAGCCAAGTGGGTTCTGATCTGCTCTGCATGCTGCACCAAATCAGCCACCCGGCCTGCTGCTTCCTTGATAGACACCTGCAGAGACTCATGCAGGGATTTCAACTCCTTCCCCAATTCCTTCCCTTCACTCCCCCCATCCGCTCCCTCCCCCGCCAACCCCCCCTGCTTCCCCCCCACCCCCAGTCTCAGCCCTCCCGCTTGCCCCAGCTTCGCAGCCACAGCAGCAGCAGCTGCCCTTGCAGCTTCAGCCGCTACCTTCTCTCCTATCCTTGCTAGCTCCGCCGCCGCCTCTTTGCTCCTCTCCACCAGCGCTTTACTAAGTTCCGAAACCGTCTCCTTGCTGTGCTCCCCCACCGCTGCTGACACTGATCCCGCCACTCCCTTAGTCACCTTTTCCAGCTCTCCTTGGAGCTCCAGCCTCAGTCCTGCTTGTGCCACCGGCCCAGCCACTCTCAGAATCATATCTTTCACCGAAACCACTTCATCCACAAGCTCCCGCTTGAAATTCTCGGTCAGCTTTTCGGAATTTGCCGAGAGCTGCCCGGCGTGCTTAGCTAAGAGGGAGTTGAGAGCGGCGGCGGAGAGAGGGGGCGGGTCAGAGAGGTGAGTGGTGGCAGCGGTGGTGAGAGCAGCGAGCTCGTTTTCAACAGTGAGGGAGTGGGTGCGTTGCTCTTGGACGAGGGAGTGAAGGCGGGTAAGGGAGTTGAGAGCAGCGCTGGTGCGGTTGTTGATTTCGGCAACTGTCGCTGAGAGGTTTGACATCTGCTCTGACTGCATGCTCTCGTGGTGGGTTATGCTGGGGGTTGGAGAGCCAACAGGGGGCGGGCGGGGAGGAGGAGGAAAGGGAAAACACTGGTGTGGGTTTTTAGTTCCAACTGCTGTGGCTGAAAAAGGTTTGACATCTGTTCTGACTGCATGCTCTCGTGGTCTGTTTTGCTGGGGAGGGTGGGGGATTGGAGACACAGGAGAGAGGGGGACGACGAGGGAGGGCGTTGACACATTTGTTCAGTTTGGCTGGACTTTTCGGTAAGGTAATGTCACTTGATCTCACTGCGTGCTCACAATGCATGGGTCAAGCTGCTGCTGTTGACTCTTTCAACGCACTGACCTGGACATGAGGGGCGACGTGGTAATGTCTTCCTTCCGCAGCGCGTCTGACAGCGACCCAACGTACTGTGAGGGAGCATGGCGGATTGAATGGGGAGGATGGGGAAGGGTGAGGATGGCGGGCTTGTGACTCACAGCAGAGGGGACATAATCGAAAAGCGGGCAGTTGAACCATAAAATGCGTTCCTCCTCTTTTTCCTGACTCATGACTTCAATGCTTGCCACACCCAACCCTTCCTCACCCCTTCCTCTTCCTCCAAACACCCCAACAATCCTCCCATTCCTCGTCTCCCCATGTTCTCCCCCACCAACCACGATGTGCCACGTGCTCACCAGCAGGCTGCAGAAGGACGTGACTATAACGAATCCCACCAGCCACTTAACCGCGTCCGCCATAAACTTCTGCTGAAGCTTCCGTCTGGGTCCCGGACTCTGCGGAGGTCCGCCATGCGGGGTGGCTCCGAGCCTAGCTTCCGCCACGGGGGACGAATCCGAACCTAGCGCCATTGCCGAGGGTCGGTCGAAGGCTCGGTAATGCGGCTGGCTCAGCCCTGATAATCCGCCTGTCGTTCCGCCAATAGGAATCGAGTATTGGGGGTTGGAGCCTGGCCGATCAGAAGCCATTGTTGCATGTATATTGGCCGAATGTGACGCGACAGTAGCAGGTGAATGGGGCAGTAACGCGGCGAATGCGACACTGGCGGGAACGCGACACTAACGGGGCGAACGCGACGGAGAGGGGAAAATAAGAGACACTGAAGTTGCGCCGTGCTGAAGTGACGACCGAGAATCAGGACTGGTTTGGTAAATAGTGAAATAACGACGATCTGTAAATAGTGGCCCTGTTCTGTTGCCGCACTACTAGTGCGGACCCCTCCGCACAGCACCAACTGATGCTTCGACAGGGCTTCTACCAGTTATCCTCAAAGCTTCCTTTTCAAGGGCGTATTCCTTGAAACAGGCTCGGGACCCTGAACTCCATCCCGAACCTGGCCAATGCTGAACACACGCAAAAGAACAGAGAACCAGTGGTGCTGCGCTATCCCCTCCTCCCAGGCAAACTGGGTGCGAGACTGGTGCTAACATGGGCCCAGTTCTGTTGCCCAGCGGCAAATGGAGGGCGGACAGCGCAGCACAGCACCACTGGTGCGGCCGGGTACTTCCGCGAAGCCAAGAACCCCCCACGTTGGTGCGATTCAGCTTCCTGCCACCCTCCGCGCAACTAGAGGAGCTTCGTAAAAGTTTTGCTGATCTGACCGTTAAAATGTTTTTCGCGACGATAATTGGTGAGTTTGGAGCAATACAGCCAACCCATACCAAAAATAATTCTCGTCACCAATGGGACATTGCCCTCCTCCGTAACGTGTTTTTTTCGGGGCATTTGTTCCTGCCCGGAACTACTTGTGCTGTCTCTGGGTCCGCGATTCGAGCGGGAACCAGTCTCGCACCAGTCTCGCACCCAGTTTGCCTGGGATGAGCGGACAGCACAGCACTACTGGTTCAACGTTCTTTTGCGCTTGGTAGGCCGCACAGCACAGCCAGCACTGGCCAGGTTCGGGAGAGAGTTCAAGGTCCCGAGCCTGATTCAAGGAATGCGCCCTTGGAATGGAATCTTCGAGGATCACCGGTAGAGGCCCTCTCGAAGCATCATCTAGTGCTGTGCGGAGGGGTCCGCACCAGTAGTGCGGCATCAGAACTGGGCCATGGTTCCCACTCGGAGAGGGAACCCAGGGGCAGCAAAAGTAGTTCCGGGCATTTTAAAAATTTGTTCTTAGTCCTGGATGGCCCTTTTGCTGTCAGACAATTCAACCATCCAGTGGTTGCTCGCGAGAGGAGGTTTAACAGTCTGCGAAGAGAAAAAAAATCTTTGCCTTGAAGGTGCGTAGAGGGGGCACGAAGCTAGCGAGAGCTTTCGAGCTTTTGGGTGCGTGCCGAGCCTCTTGTCGCACAGCTGGTGCTGTGCTGTGCTGTCCGCCCACAATTAGACGATGGGCAACAGAACAGGGCCTAGACGATGGGCAACAGAACAGGGCCAGTGAGTAGTGGTTAGGATGGTTGGGTCGAGAGCGTCATGGTTGGCTCGCGAATGTGGGCTGTGTCGAAACACAGGGGCGAAAGTCGCGTACTATATGACTTTCGGCAAAGTTACCAAACTCTTGAAACCCCGTCATACCAGGGGTGTCGCTTACAGGGCACATGCCCTGATTGCACTGAAATTGAAGGGTTCGAGACAATCTAGCCCTGATTCTTGTAGGGCTGTTTTGGGGCAAAATCCTGACTTCTAAGGACGCGGTAAAAGTAGACGATCAATCGTCAGTCGCGATCGATGTGCGGATTGGTTACCCTATTTTGTCAGAGGTCCACTGGTGATCCCCGATTGATCCTAGGGAAGGGTTACAGGCACGTCGGCCTGAGGGGTTATGGGCGCACTCACCCGCTACACAAACAAGTCCTTTTATCCCAATGGTCTAGTGGTTGGGATTCTGACATATTTACTACGCTGTAACTACACTACAGTACGTTTTTTGGCCAAATTTTTTGTACACTGTGTGAATGCGACTGATCACTGATCACGGGAGATCTGTCAAATCCCAGTAGCGATCGTTACAACGTCGCGATTGCCACGTTTCGCCAATCGATCTGCCCAATCGATTGCGGGGATTGATATGTGCAGACGATCCTGCGATATTTGCACTTTTACCACGTCCTAAGGACGTGTTGTAATTGGCAGTGCACTGAGAAGAATGAAGAACGAGGATGAATGAACTATGAATGAGGTGAGTACATATAGAAAACCCTAATTGGGTTGTACCCCCTATGGGATACCCCACTATAGCCTACACAACAGCATAAGCTATATAATGTTCTGACACACCCCCATAGGCAAAGTGGGGGAGAACAAGGGGTCACAAGACCAGTCAAGCAAAGCAGAGCAAGCTCAGGGTGGATCACAACGTCACCACACAGTCCGAGCACAACGACAAGGCCACAAGGCCAGTTCACATGCAGGAGTACACATATATATATAGAGCTAGACAAGCAAGAGCAGGTATATATATGTGACAGTACAAGTAAGGTCAAGAGGAGAGCAAGTGAGGCAAGACAGGTACAAGACCCAGCTGAGTGCAGAAGCGCTGATGGTCACAAGGCGCAAGTGCCTTGGTGAACACATCAGCAGTGTTGGCCTGAGAGGCCACGTACGCAAGTCGCAACTGACCACGCTGCTGCAGCTCACGAGCAAGAAAGTAACGGAGAGCAATGTGCTTCGTTCTGTGCTCCAAGCGCTGCTCTCGACACAAGGCCAGCATGGCCTTGTTGTCTACGTACAGCACTGGAGGAGAACGAGGCGGCTCTCCAAGGTCAGTCAGCAGGTAGGTGAGCCAGCGAAGCTCCTGTGCAGCCATGGCCCCGGCGTAGATCTCAGCCTCACAACTGGAGCCGAGAACAGAGGACGAGCGAGTAGCTCGCCACGAGACAGAGCCGGAACCAAGACTGAAGGTGTAACCCTGCGATGACCGCTGCGTAGCCTGGTCGTCAGCCCAAGAAGCGTCCGCGTGCCCAGTGAGGACCACTGGACTCCGCCCTCCAAGCACTAGTCCCATGCCCGACGTACTGCACAAGTATCGCAACACCCTCTTCGCTGCAGCCATGTGCTCTGGTCGGTGTCTCCCAGGAGCAACATAGCGTGCAAGAATGCTAAGAGGGTATGCAAGGTCAGGTCGTGTGCAGGTCATCAGGTACATGAGGCAGCCAACAAGCTCTGGATACGGGCCACTCGACTCTACGGACTCATCCGAAGGCAGAGCTGAGAGTGAGTGGCGAGTAGGCAGAGGAGTGGCCTGAGGCGAGGAGTACGTGAAGCCGAAGCGCTGAAGGACCTGCTGCACCATGTGTGACTGAGTCAGGGTAATGGTGCGACGTGCTCTGTCCCGGGTGATCTGCAAGCCAAGGTAGCTGCGCAGTTCACCCAGGTCTGTGCACGTGTGTCTCTTCTGCAGCTCGGACTTCACGTGGGCGAGTCCAGCAGTGTCAGCTGTGGCAAAGACCAAGTCGTCGACGTACACGAGGATGTAGAACGGCGGCAGAGAGGTGTCGGTGCGTAGAAACAGCGACGGGTCGGCAGTAGAAGGAGCAAACCCAAGAGCCGCAAGCGTAGTCCTCAGTGTGTCATGCCACTCACGTGGCGCCTGGCGGAGACCGTAGACTGGACGCCGGAGACTCCACTGGGTACCAGGAGGGAAAGACCCAGTGAAGCCAAGTGGGCGGCGCAGCCAGATCTCCTCGTGCAGGCTGCCCTGCAAGAAAGCAGTGCTGAAGTCGAGAGAGTGCAGCTCGTAGTCACGGTGAGCAGCAACGTGTAGCAGCACCCGAAGAGTTGTCATCTTCGGGGTGGGGGAGAAGGTCTGAAAGTAGTCAACTCCCTGTCGCTGACTGAAGCCACGAGCCACGTAACGTGCCTTGAAGACAGGCGGAGAACCCGGCGGCCGCTTCACCCTGAAGATCCACATGCCACTGACGATGTTCGCCCCAAGAGGGGGGACAGCGTCAACGTAGGTGCCTGTGGACTTCCAGGAAGCCATCTCTGCATCCATAGCTGCCTGCCACTGAGAGGAGTAGGGACCCTCTATCGCCTCCGCGTAAGAGCGCGGAGTCGGGATGTCAAGTGCATCCGGGTCTCCCTCAGGGGTAAGCAGTACGGACACGAGATGAGGTGAAGCAGCTGCCAGACACTGGAACTCCTCCTGCCTGTCCTCAAGGACGTCCGTGCCAAGGGCACACTCACCCCCGACTGACGGAGGACAGGCAGACCCAGACTCAGCGACAAGACTAGCAGCGTAGTCTAGGCGACAGCGAGCAGCAAAGTCGACGAGCTCAGTAACTAGGGCAGACGTAGCAGTAGACTCGAAGAAAGGGTCAGTGACGACAGTAGCAAGGAGACGCGTGACAGTAGGACTGGCAGCACGAAGAGAGTCCGACGCAGGGTCGGGAAGAGCAGGAAGAGAGGACTCAGGAGGAGAAGGCAAAGGGGCACGCAGAGGGGCAGTAGACGGACGCAGAGACATCCTGTGCGTGCCAGGGACAGGAGGAGGACGCTGACGCGAACCACGACCACTAGCGCGAGCAGCACGGACAGGCGACGCAGGGCGAGACGCAGGCTCACGACGCTCAGTAAGACCTCCAGTAGGACCAGTGTAGGGAGAAGGAGCAGGCAAAGGGGAGGTAGGCTGTAGCAGTGACCGCGACGGGACAGGCTGTGGACCCTCCAAGAGAGGAGGAGGACCAGGAGAGGGCGGAAGACCAAGAACCTGCTGCAGGAGTGGAACGAAGTACGGTCGAGGCCGCGTAGCTACGCCAGAAACAGCAGGGACAGCACCAGTACCCCCAGCAGGAGCACCCGCTCCAGCAGCACCTCCAGTAGCTCCAGAACCTCGAGCAACACCAGGAGCACCCCCAGCAGTACCGCCAGTGGTAGTCTCAGTGCCAACACCCTCAGCAGCACCAGCTCC